TGTGTGTGTGTGTGTGTGTGTGTGTGTGTGTGTGTGTGTGTGTGTGTATGGTAGAGGGCGGTAACCACTGCAGTCCTACTACAGCAGTGTGTCCCCTCCAGGCCTCAGATACCGTCAGTGTTACTTGCGTTACCGCAGGAAGAAGTCGTTGTACATTTTATTTTTTAGTTTTCTGTGTGTGTGTGTGTGTGTGTGGGGGGGGGGGGGGGGACGAACATGGCGGCCCCACCGAAACGGCAGGACACTCGCAAATTTATAGAGAACCTGTCCGGCGCTGGGAAATCCATCGCAGTGCTGACGAGTGGAGGAGATGCCCAAGGTAAAAACGTTGTGTATCCTCGAGTTCCATTGTCGGACAGATACGTTGCCTCTATCAGTTTTAATTAATCAGTGCTTGTCATTCAACAGCATTGATTTTAACTCACACTTAAAACACATGTTACGTGTGTTTTTATTTTGCAGTGATATTTAGGCCATAGAAATGACAGAAACATGCCAGCCCAAGAGCTGTCCGATAATGGATGTATGGCGGCGAGGATGTGTAATTGTTTTTTTTTACATGGATGCTATAATAGTTATCCCGGCGAAACACGTTAGGTATAATATTTTATATTGATAATAGGTCGGCTAAAAATGAGTCCAGGTTGTAATGGGTGCTTTTGATTGATTTTGGAAAAGCAACAAGTGTTCGTGATGGCTGAATAATTAAAAAGACATCTTCTCTTTTACATAAGGTGTTCCTCCCTTTATCGTGCATCCTGCACCATTATCGTGCATCCTGCACCATTATCGTGCATCCTGCACCATTATCGTGCATCCTGCACCATTGCGTCTGTATATCTACTGTGTGCACGACATATATGGCGCGTGTGTGTTCGTGCATGCACCTGTGCGCGTGCAGCAGGACTTAATAATGTCATCATCGACCCGGATGAATCTATGATATTTCTGTGGTATTCCCATAATGAGCTCAGTCAGTATGTATAATGACCTTGCTGTAAGTTTACATAATACTGTTATATATTTATTTGATGTCTTCCTGACTTTAAGACAGCGAGTACTATTAAGGTTCCCTGGTACTTTTGTTTGGCTGAGTAATAGTTTTAAAACGTTGGACTGTGTATAAGCGCTCATATGAACTGCTCTTCCAGTAAAAATGATCAGTTATTACAGTAAGACGAGTAGATTCACGTGTGTTGCATAACTGAGGATGATTCACGAGAGGACCGGTGTCAAATAAAGAGTTAAAGGAGCCCACTTCCGAGTCAACCTTTCACAGTAAAAGTCACATTATTATGTTTTCCCTCCTGAGCTTTTATTTTGAAGGCAGCGTATATCGACTTCCTGTCTGTTTGCCGGTAGCTTTACTCATCCTGTCGCGGTGGGATCGTGCCGTCTACGTGAGGAGCGCCGGGTACACAGTGACGTAGTGATGAACGGAAGAGGAATACATTAATGCAAATGAACTAACAGTGAGGTGTTTTTATGATGTAATTTGTCATTATTATATTATACTGATAATTAATGTACATGGAGATATTTTCAATGGGTAAAATCCATTCTCATCAGCTCTAATATCGACCCTGAAACATCATCAGAACATAACCAACTATACATATACTGTCTATAAATACACCATACTGACTATACACACACCATACTGTCTGTATATACACCATACTGTCTATAAATACACCAT